TTATTATTTTCTTTTTATCATCTTATATTACTAATTTTTATTAATGTTTTATTAATTAATGTAGATTTATTTTATAAATTATCCAAATAAAAAAAATTATATTTTATTAATATTTTTCATATAAATCTATATTATACTAAATCTATACATCTATATTTTTGTCGGTCAAATTTATCAACTAATTTTTTTAAATTAAATTTTTAGTTTTTAATTTCATTAAAATATATATATTAAAGATCTATCTAATTTTCAAGTGGAATATATATCAGCTAGTACGATACCCGTGTAGTAAATATATTAATACTTGTACAATAGAAAAACTAAATAATTTATTTTAATATTTTAAAATTATATATCATGAATAGATAAAAATTATGAATAACTGACAAAGTAATAATTAATTCAAAATGGGGTCCATATTTTTGCATTTAATTTTCTTTTTTATTTAAAATCTATGCTAAAACGCATTAAAATGATTATTTTATGGTGTATTACTGAATTAGATTTTTATTATATTTGTTATAAAATAATTTAGGTTGTATTCATATTGTTGAAATTATTTTTTTTTTTAATAAATATAGATATTTATAATGATAGATGTAATTATTTTTTATTTTGTATATGCAATATGGATGTCAAATCGAAGATCAATAAAATATTATTATTTTGATATATAACATACAAAAAAAAAATAAAAATAATAAATTATAAAGATTTAAAAATAAAAAGAATACATCTTTATTATAACAATTATTATATGAATTAAATTAGAAAGGGTAAGAGTAGTATATGGTAACTTGAGAAAAAAAAAACCTAAAATAGTTTATGGTAATTCTCAAGCCTAAAACCGAACATGTATATGTGTCAATACAAAGCATATAATTATGTCAAATAAACTTCTGAAGCATATGAGTCTGCCACTTAGGCTCAGGACATCCGAAAATTATATATCGGGGCTATTTATAAAATTATAATTAATATCTTATGACAAGTAACTATAGGAATATGCTAAAAATTGAGAATTATATCACCTTGATTTTATAACAAATCAGCCTACAATTCGACTTTCATACTCATACCAAATAAAATTCACACCACTTATTTTATTTTAAAAAATAAGTACACTTGTATCCATACCAAATGAAATTCATATAATTTAAATTTGGACATTTCATGCCAAAAAAAACTGCCCTCATTTCATTAATCATAATACTCAACTATTATCTTACTCTAAAATTTGGTGTCATATAATATTATTAAAATAATTTTTTAAATTAACAACTCAATTTTATTATATGCAAATATTTGATATTTTTAGCAAACAAAATTTTATACTCTAATAGCTTACGCAACACGAATTTCTATTATGTTGCGTAGTATATGAGACAAAACGCGACGAATTACGTTATAAACATTTTAAAACACCAAAAGTAATATAATTAACTTCAATATAAAGGGTCGTTAAGGCGAGATTATATTTTATTGTGAAACTTCGTGCGTCAATCCCTTTCAAAATGAGCGGGAATACCATAAGAGAGATCAACTAGAGCTTATGCCTAAATTAATGCGTGATACATCATGTTTATCAGTTTCATATATGGAATGTTTCGCCTAAGTGATTTGAATCGCAATAAAAATAGAATGTTGTGGTTGTGGACATATGAATGGATGATTTTCATTTATATTGAAATTAAAATACAAATTTGTTTCCATAAAATGAAAATTATCTAAAAATAAAATCAAAATATTTCTAAATTTCAAAATTAAAGCTCTATTGAGTTCATGACCACTTGTCGATTAAACTTAATTAAACACATTCAAATACTCATAAAACTAATGTATAAGTGATTTTGAGTAATATAAACATCATTTAAGACCGAAATTCAATGTTTATTTATGTTCGTCGGGATTGGTACTGAATACGCGATATTGGGTCCTAAACTAACATTTAATGGGTATTGTCTAACTCAATGAAATTATGTGTATTAGTAGTGTTTTTTCATTATTGTGTCGAGTTCATGACTCAATTAAAAATATTTTAAATCTCATATAAACTAATGTGAGAGTAATTATAGGACATATAAACATCATTTGAGATCGATATTTGGTGTTTTTATGTGTTCATTACAAGTAGTACTAAAGACCCAATATCAGGTACTACAACAATATAAAACTGGTACTATCTTACTCTATGTCTGGTACTACTTTTTGTAAATGTTTACCAAAATTGAAATAGTCCCTTTTCGTTCAAAAAAATAGGTACTAATCGATAAAAAGAGGTACCACGTAGAAGAAGATGTAGTACTATATTGGCTAAAACAGGTACTATTTTAAGAATTGTGCTTCCTTTAAACCTTCATGTCTACTATAACAGGTGGATCATTCACGTGTGATTTGGATGAAAAATAGTGGAAGTTAAAACATATAGGTAGAATTTGGAGTAGTCATGTATGATTATTCTATGAGATGAAGTGCGTCATTCTGTGAAATGAAGTGTATTAGTAGTGTTTTCTCATTAGTGAGTCGAGTTTATGACCATTAAATGATTAAACTCAATTACAAACATTTTAAATCTCATATAAACTAATGTGAAAGTGTTCATGGGTCATATAAACATCATTTGAGACCGAAATTTAGTGTTTTTATGTGTTCATTACAAGTGGTACTAAAGACCCAATATTAGGTACTACAACAATATAAAACTGGTACTACCTTATTGTATGTCTGGTACTGGTTTTTGTAAATGTTGACCAAAATTGAATAATCATTTTTTGATTAGAAAAGTAGGTATTAATCGATCAAAAAGAGGTACCACGTAGAAGAAGATGCGGTACTATTTTGGCTAAAACAGGTATTGTTTTAAGAATCTTGATTCCTCTAATCCTTCATGTCTACCACGACACGTGAATCATTCACACGTGGTTTGTATGAAAAATAATGGAAGTTAAAACATATAGGTAGAATTTGGAGTAGACATGTATGATGATTCTATGAGATGAAGTGTGTCATTTAATGAAATGAAGTGTAGTAGTGTTTTCTCATTAGTGTGTCGAGTTCATGACCATTTTACGATTAAACTCAATTAAAAACATTTTAAATCGCATTTAAACTAATGTGAGAGTGATTATGAGTCGTATAAACATCATTTGAGATCGAAATTCAGTGTTTTTATGTGTTAATTACAAGTGGTACTGAAGACCTAATATCAGGTACTACAACAATAGAAGACTGGTACTATATTACTCTATGTCTGGTACTACTTTTTGTTAATGTTGACCAAAATTGAAATAATTCATTTTCTTTGACCAAAAATTGGTACTAATTGATCAATAACTGGTACCATGTAGAAGAATATGCGGTACTACATTTGATAAAACAGGTACTATTTTAATAATTGTGACTTTTTTAATCCTTCATGTCTGTCATGACACGTGGATCGTTCACGCATGATTTTGATGAAAAATAATGGAAGTTAAACATATAGGTAGAATTCGAAGTAGTCATGTATGACGATTCTATGAGTTGAAGTGTGTCATTCAATGAAATGAAGCGTACTAGTAGTGTTTTCACATGAGTGTGTCGAGTTCATGACCAATTTGCGACTAAACTCAATTTTAAAACATTTTAAATTTCATACAAACTAATGTGAGAGTGATTATTGGTCATATAAACATCATTTGAGACTGAAGCTCGATGTTTTTATGTGTTTGTTACAAGTGGTATTGGAGACCCAATATCCGGTACTACAGGATTATAAAAGTGGTACTATCTTACTCTAGGTCTGGTACCAATTATTGCAAATGTTGACCATAATTGAATAATCTATTTTTGTTGACCAAAAGTTGGTACCAATTTAATAAAAACAGGTACTACTCAGAGAAAGAAATGGTACTATTGTTGTCAAAACTGGTACCAAATTACCGATCGTGATTTCATTAATCCGTTATGTCTACCATTTCACGCGTGATTTGGTTGACAAATAGTGGAAGTTAAAACATATAGGTAGAATTTGAAGTAGTCATGTATGATCATTCAATGAGATGAAGTGTTTCTTTTAATGAGATTAAGTGTATTAGTAGTGTTTTTTCATTAGTGTGTTGAATTCATGACCAATTTTCGATTAAACATAATTAAACACATTTTACATATCATAGAAACTAATGTAAGAGTGATAATGAGTCATATAAACATCATTTGAGACCAAAATTTGATGTTTTTTTATGTTCGTCGGAGTTGGTACTATAGACCCGATATCTGGTACTAAAATACTAAAAGCTGGTACTATCTTACTCTAGGTTTGCTACCAATTTTTGCCAATGTTGACCAAAACTGAAGTAACATTTCGCTGACCAAAAGTAGGTACTAATTGATTAAAAACAGGTACTGCATAGAAAAAAAAGTGTTACTATTTCTGTCAAAAGTGGTACCAATTTTGTAATCGTCATTTTTTTAATCCTCCAGGTCTACCATGCCACGTGGATTGTTCACGCGTGATTTGGTTGAGAATTAGTGGAAGTTAAAGCATATAATTAGAATTTAGAGTAGTCATGTATGATCACTCAATGAGATGGAGTGTTTCTTTTAATGAGATGAAATGTATTAGTAGTGTTTTTCATTCGTGTTTTGAGTTCATGACCAATTTGCGATTAAACTTAATTAAACACATTTTAAATCTCATAGGAACTAATGTGAGAGTAATAAGGAGTCATATAAACATCATTTGAGACTGAAATTCTGTGTTTTATTATGTTCGTCGGAGTTGGTACTAAAAACCTGATATATGGTACTAAAACGCCATAAAGCTGGTACTATCTTACTCTAGGTCTGGTACTAATTTTGAAAATGTTGACCAAATTTGAAATGATTTATTTTTTATTCGTTCTACAAAGTAGGTACTAATTGGTCAGTAACTGGTACTTCATAGAAGAAAAAGTGGTACTTTTTGTCAAAAAACAGATACCATTTTACGAAATTCGTTTTTTTTTTTATGTTAATCAGAGTTGGTACTGAAGCCCGATATCTGGTACTAGAACACCATAATTGTGGTACCATTTTACTCTAGGTCTGGTACTAATATTGAAAATGTTGACCAAAATTGAAGTAATTCATTTTTTGGTACTATTTGTTTTAAAACTGGTACAATTTTACTAAACATAACTTAAAATTTTCACATCAATTTTTTGTATATAAAGTAGGTACTAATTACTATAAAAGGAGTACAATATTGTTTAAGGTTGTTAAGGTTGGTACTGATGTGAAGGAAACTGGTATCAGTTTCTAAATCATAACTTCCTGAAGAAAACTAGTATCATCTTCTCAAAATTCATCAACAGATGTACCTTACAAACTAATAAGAAAAAGCTGAACACAGTCGAGAAAATCTCCAAAAACAAAATCCTCTAATCATCCTATAATATATGCATTGACATTAACACACAAATTTCCTCTTCGTTATTTTAAAACCAATGCAAAAATATAATAAATTAAATCTCATTCTTTTCACAGTTTCACCATCTTCCTCAGTTTCTCAAACCTCAGATCCCGTAGAAACCGAGCAATCACCAAACCTTCATGCCTCTAGCCGAACAAAAGTCCCCTTCTCATTAAAAGATTCATATTCATTAAAATACACCGTCCATTTGAATAAAATAAAATAAAATAATGTCGCCCGACCTGGCCGAGTCCCTCCAAAAATTCACGTCGACTCTCGAGGACAAGAATCCCCCTCAACAGCACAAAGAGCTTAGCTTCCGCTTCTGCAGCTGCTGCAACATTCACATCATTCTCATTATCCTCCCCATTACCATCAATCCCCTCGTCTCGAGCACCGGGTCACTGTAATAACAACAAATGTAATCGCTATTGTTCACATACAAATGCGGGACCCACTTCTTCTTCTTCTTCGCCTGCCCGACCACCTCATCACACGACCTGTTTTCATTCTCATTACCGGCCGTCTGCAGCATTGATCGGACCTTCCTCCATGCCTTCCCGGCCTTCTCCCCCACGGCCCTCACTCCCGAAGCTAAAGAAATCGAGGGCGGGTTGAAAAGGTGAGCCTCCACACACACACCTTCCTTAGCCAGTTCTTTCCCGACCTGAAGCGCAAAACCGGCACCCAACAAGTGCCCGGCCACACACACGTTATTGCTCTCGTACCTTCCGGAAATTTCTTTCAATGATTTTAGCGCGCGTTCGAATCTCACGGACCCTTTCAAGCTCTCCCACGTCAAGAACCGGAGGTCATCCTCGATGTCTCGTCCAATGGTGGGATCCTTCAGGAGAGTTCCGCGGAGGGCTAAGACAACCCGTGGGGCACCGCTCGGCCTCAGGAGCACAAAGTCTGATAAGGCAGCCGTGCGGTTCCACTCGAGTATGGCGCCGAATATAGTGTTGTGAGTTTCTTGGTACAATTCCTGGGTCTAGAATTGATGTAAGAAGCCGAAGCACTAAAACCTATCAGAATCAGTCAAGACATTAGATAGAGATTAAATATAGTCTGTATGTACATTGTAATTGTAGACTAACATTAGATAGAGATTAAATATAATTGAAAACAAGGAGTTAAAAGATCCAATAATCACACATGAACATGAATGCTTAAATATTTCTGGAACAAGTTGAGGACAGCCATATCAAATGATCCTTGGTTTTTGAAAGTTATAAAGGACATATCTCCTGTCGGTCGAGCTCGACGAGGTAGACAGCTTGTATGAAGCAAGGTATTACAGTCCTTTTTGTAGTTTGGGTCATTCCTGTTGGATTAAGAGATGACCATCCATTTATAATCTCATCAAGAACAACTAGTCACCAACAAGTCACAATCCAACAATAAATTCTGGATAAATAGTTGAAGCAGGAAAAATCAATTATTTCTAATGCTAACAAACTAGTTATGTATAAAATATAAAAAACCCCATTTTCCCTTTGCCAGTTGAATCTGTAAAGGAACATAATTTGCTCTCCAAATTGTATCATTTTTGAATTTTACTGTCTTGGCTAACCAAAAGAATAAAAAGATATTATTCAATAGGCAAGAAACAGAGCTACCACAATGAGAATTGCTACAATCCCAAACAGAAATTTCAAGCGCACATTCTGATAAAATGATGAACAGAAAAAGGCTAGCTATAAACAAGTGATTCATACAAAGAACATTATTTGTGTGACCCCATTTCCACACAAATTACCTCACTATCCTCCACCTTTATTTCTCTCATCGAACCACCAAAAATCTACACAATACATGCCTCGCCGCTGCCGCCCCTCCACCTCGAAGAAAAATCCATTCATGGACCAGATGGTGGCTAATTTCAACAATTTTGTGTTGTCCTCGCCGATGGGCCTGACGGAGAATCACTCACCGACGATTGATATTTGGGATTAGATTTTTCTAAGAATTTGGGATCTTGAGACGAGGTGTTTTTTTTTTTTATGATATTTTTTAGTTTTGGTGAGTTATGAATAAAATTAAATGAAAAATAATAATAAGTATATATATATGGGGAGTTGGGAGGAAAGAGATAGATGTATTAGGGAGTGCAGAGGATAAATATTTGTATTAGGGACTGACAGGGAACTTCAATTATGGATTGGGGAGTTTTGAGGAATTAACCGATAAATATTTACTATATCAACATATTTACATAGTTTTTATTTTGTATACAAAAAAACATTTAAATAATAAAAAATATATAAGGAACGGGTCAACCGGGTTGACCCGGCCGGGTCAATTGCCCAGGTCGACCGGGTCAAGACCGGGTTTTGACCGGGTTCATTGTTATCCGGTCCAAATAGCCTACCCGGACCGGTTCCGCCTCTGGGTCAGCCGGATCCCGGGTCGACCCATCGGGCGATTCGAGTTGAAAAACTGTGTAATAAACTAGTATTTATGCACGTGCACAAATACAAATAAATTTTAAATAAATAGTTTGAGAAAAGCTTTAGTATATAATAACATTTAATGCGACTTTATTATTAGTTAATAGTAACAATTACATAATAAAATAAATAATAAAATAAAATTGTTTGATTTATATATAAAGTCGCATTAAATGCGACTTTATATATATATATATATATAAGGGATCATATGAGAATGGTAAATAGTGAAAAAAATAAGAATGAATGTATACCAATGGATACAACATATGAATGTAGCGACATTCTTGTAAATAAGTGTACAAATTAGGGTCAAATATACACATTTGACCAATAAATAAAGGCAAATTGATAATTAACATCTCGCAGACCAATACACATACTACGCGTGAGTCCCACCACTATTACCACCACTTCTTTTTCTCTCACACACATACAACACACACCAGTGCGGCAACCACCATCGACTGCCACCCGTCTCTGACCATAGCCGTCCATCCGCCACCTGCTGCCGCCCGTCACCTCCCTCTACCTCTCTCTCGCACAGACGACCATCTCTTCCACCGAATACGGCGTCCTCTCTTTTCTCCCGATGTCGGCAGCGTGCTCCTCCCGCCAACAAGCTTCGACGATACCACGAAAAACGTCAAGATCGATAGCGCATAAGGTAAAACTCACCTGCTTCTTGATCTCGACCCGTGCCGACAGGATAAATCGGATTCAAAATCTCGTCAAATTCACGTACTTCAATTCTCAAAGATGAAGCTGAATTCGAAAATTCGTCGTACATCTTCCCGTCCACCGATGGTCGTGTCATGTCTTGATGAAGTCTATGTTTTGTGATTCGGTTGAAAGCCTCGCAGGTCCCCATTTTGCAATTTGGGTGTTCTGGAGTTTTGGGGTCTAGATTTTGTAAATTTGGTAATTGTTACAGACTTATTTGTAAGTTCAAAAAATTTAGTTATATTACAATTTAATTCATGGATCAAATTTATAATTTATTAAAATTTTAAAATTGAACAACATTAATAAATAAGCTGCACAATATTTTGTGTATATGCACATTAAAAACTTATGACAAACACACACACACACATATATATATATATATATATGAACTTTATTGAAAAAAATAATAAATATGCATTTTTTGATAAATAAATTTCACAATATTACGTGTAAATATGCACTTTTAAAATTATTAATGTTCATTCCGTTTAATATTAAGTCGAAGAGAGAATTTAGCTCCGAATAGAGAGTTTTTTTGTAAAGAAGAAAATAAGAAAGAAAAGAAAGAGATGTAAATAGTGAAAATACCAAAAATGTCTATTAAAAGAAAAAAGAAAAAGGAAATAAGAAAGAAAAGAAAGACATATAAAATGTCAAAATCCACCCTATATGTAATTGCACAATGCGTTGAGTCTAAGTGGTATGTTCTCACGCTTCAAAATCTTATGTAGCAAAAAATTGTGTTCGGATTCAGGCTTGGATATAAATTAATATATTTTTATACAAACTAAGTAGGTTTAGATTTCCTATATTATTCATATTTTTTATACAAAATAAGTAGGTTTGGATCTCTCCATTCTTTTATTCTACACTTACTTATCATAAACTATTTTAAGTTTCCTTTTCCTACATTACTACATATGAAATTTTATTTTCTTATTTAGTTCATACATTAATTATTATAAATATTTATTCTTCTTATTTTTTAAATTTATAACATTTTTAGTTCCATCACCATTGTCGCCCGCCGCCGCCCTCTGCCTCTCTCTCTCTCGCACAGACGTCCATCTCTTCCACCGAATACGACGTCCTCTCTTTTCTCCGGACGTCGGCAGCGTGCTCCTCCCGCCAACAAGCTTCGACGATACCACGACTAACGTCAAGATCGAGACGCGCATAAGGTAAAACCCACCTGCTTCTTGATCTCGACCCGCGCCGACAGGATAAATCGGATTCGAAATCTCGTCAAATTCACGCACTTCTATTCTCAAAGATGAAGCCGAATTCAAAAATTCGTCGTACATCTTCCCGTCCACCGGTGGTCGTGTCGTGTGTTGATGAAATCTATGTTTTGGGATTCAGTTGAAAGCCTCGCAGGTCCCCATTTTGCAATTTGGGTGTTCTGGAGTTTTGGGGTCTAGATTTTGTAAATTTGATAATTGTTACAGATTTATTTGTAAGTTCAAAAAATTTAATTATATTACAATTCAATTCATGTATCAAATTTGTAATTTCTTTTAAAATTTTGAAATTGAACAACATTAATAAATAAACTGCACAATATTTTGTGTATATGCACATTAAAAACTTATGACACACACACACACACACATATATATATATATATATGAACTTTATTAAAAAAATAATAAATATGCAATTTTTGATAAATAAATTTCACAATATTACGTGTAAATATGCACTTTTAAAATTATTAATGTTCATTCCGTTTAATATTAAGTCGAAGAGAGAATTTAGCTCCGAATAGAGAGAATTTTTGTAAAGAAAAGGAAATAAGAAAGAAAAGAAAGACATGTAAATAGTGAAAATACCAAAAATGTCTATTAAAAGAAAAAAGAAAAAGAAAATAAGAAAGAAAAGAAAGACATATAAAATGTCAAAATCCAACCTATATATAATTAGAATGCGTAGACCCTAAATGACATGCTCTCACGCTTCAGAATCTTATGTGGTAAAAAATTGTGCTTCGGATTCAGACTTGGATATAAATTAATAATTTTTATACAAACTAAGTAGGTTCAGATTTCCGATATCATTCATATTTTTTATACAAAATAAGTAGGTTTGGATCTCTCCATTCTTTTATTCTACACTTACTTACCATAAACTATTTTAAATTTTCTTTTCCTGCATTACCACATATGAAATTTCATTTTCGTATTTCATTCATATATTATTTATTATAAATGTTTATTCTTCTTTTCAAAATTTTATAACATTTTTGGTTCGTACTTTATTTATAAATATGATATATCAAATTATTTATCTTTTAACGATCTTCGGTTTGACATCTATATTATATATACAAAATATAGAACAATGATATATAGTCTTATAAATAAAATCTAAAATTATTAATCAAACTAAATTAAAATATGTCAAATAAAATTATATTTTTTTTATACAACAATAAAAATTTATGTGTATTCACATACTATATTATAGCTATTTTATTTGAAAAAATAAATAAACTAAGTATGAACATCAAATTAGTATAAAAAAATATTCTAAAAGTTTATGTCTCGACTTAAATAAAGACTACACAGAAACATTATGATCGTAAAAAAAAAATAAATAAAAATTATAATTAACATTATAAAAATATAATTTTAATTCATAAAGTTTAAGATATTACAATAATACACATTATATGTTAAATTATTGAACATTATAAAGTTGAAGATATTTTAAAAAATATTAAATTAGGGAGAAAAAGTGTATAAAAGTAAAGTTTAATTACAATATAATCGAACTTGAAAAAAATATTAACTAAAAATTAAATTATTGAGTTATATAAACATGTATATATATATATATATATATGTATATATACATATATATATATAGGTAAGGGATCATATGAGAATGAAAGACAATGAAAGAAATGAG